TACACAATCAGTTCTTGTTTAGTAAATCAGTCTGAAAACAAGATGATTATTCTTACACAATCAGTTCTTGTTTAGTAAATCAGTCTGAAAACAAGATCAAAAAGACTTTTTGGCTGATATAAGATTTTAAAACTTGGTAAGATGGACAGTTTTTGCAGTGTAATCTGTTTGATTATTTTCAATCAAACATCTCAAGGTTAATCCATCTAATCTGGACCTTTCTGTCTTTATTAAGGTTTGTTTTTTCTTTCATTCTATCCAATCTAAGATTTATGCAAATGTTTAATTTCAAAACTGCCTTTGCTTTAATTTTATACATATATTTCTGGTGTTTGTGTGTAATTTTCATATTTCCATTAAATTGAAGGTTTTAAACTGTTAAACTATCTTTAAACGGGACGTTTTTCCACCTTTCCTCTTCAGTTCAAATGAAGGTTTCTGTCTGCAGATCTCCTGTCGTGTTGCTGTGACTTCAGTGATTTTAGACAAGAATGTATTTCCATTTAGCGCTCTCATGTTAAAGTTTGTATAATTGTAAAATATTTGTCATTGATGTTGATATTGCACCTTAGCTTCGTAAACATGTGTTTACCACTGAATGCCTTGTTTTATTTCCTGTACAAACCAAAAAGACAAAAAAACATGGATACATCTTTTGCAAGTAATTTCTTTCACGGAGTTCTTTGGATATGTATAATTCTGTACATTTAAAATATTCCAGAAAAGGTTTCTTTATCCGGGATTTTAAACCTGCTTTCGTAACAGAGCAAACTTAAAAATATTCTTTGAAATAAAAGAGTGACTACTTACATCAAGTGTGTTTGTTTTTCTCTGCCTCATGTGTCTTTTGATTTTCTTCACTAAAGGATGTCACTGCACAAGCACTGCCATCTTTGTTGTACGGAAGAGGATTAAATAAAAAAAGGAATTCTGATTTTAATCTCAGAATTCTGAGATTAAAATCAGAATTCCTTTTTTATTTTTTTCAGTGGCTCTAATCCTCTTCCGTACACTGAAAAAAAATATTGGATTAACTTAAAAAAATTGATGTAATTTGTTACACCTAATTTCATTACTTTATCTCAATCTAAATTTTTGACTTGGTTAAAATTGTAAATGTTAAGTTAAT